GACAGTTTAATTTTCACACGTTGGATCTAACTATGGGGATGAGTGGAAATCACTCACCTCATTGATCTCCTTTAACTATTAACTTAAATGTATCTTATTTGTGTATCACTAGGCTGTAGATTCTCAAATCATCTCTGAATTGGTGCTGACACTGTCCTTCCTTCTGGAGAGTGGCTACATTTGTTCCCCATGGTCCCTGTGTGTGTTGTAAACTAGTCATCGCTCCAACCTCGCTCCCGTGATGGACTGCAATCTCATGTTTAGTTTACTAATTTGTGTTGAGACTGTAGTCCCTCACGGGAGTGAGCTTGGAGCGGTGACTACTTTACAACAGACACAGGGACCCTGGGAACCAAAAGAAGCCCCCCACCAGAAGGAAGGACAGTGTCAGCACCAATTCAGAGATGATTTGAGGATCTGCAGCCGAGTGATACACAAATAAGATACATTTGTGTTAATAGTTGGGGGACTTGAATGTATTTTTAAGGTTTAGCTCCTGAGTTTAGTGTCACTTTAAGGTTTGCAGTACAATACCCAAATAACACACAACCTCATTGAGAAAGCTCAACATTTAATAACTAAGGACTCCGCATAGGTCTAGTTTTACACTCTGTGTCCTACTACCTGTAATCCCCCCCTCCTCAACTTAGCACCATTCTAAAATGTCCTGTTTACTTCCTCAACGTCATGCTTCTGCTCCTCATAGACGTCATTTTACAATCTAGCAGTCTGGAGTAAGGCACAATCAGAAAGTAAGGAGCATTCTGCAAACACACCAGAATGAGCGCCTATGTCGGAGACAGAGGACCACATCACCATGGCATATACAAGGAGTAGGTGCAGAATGCACTCAGATCGAGTAAAGTTCAAAAATGTTGTTTAGCTGCATTATAAAGGGAGAGAGACACTTACAGGGTTATTCACAAAAGGGTGAAGAAGAGTTTGGAGAAGGCAGGAGAAGTGAACAATCTAGGCCAACACAGCTGAACTGGAAAAATTCTCCAATTCAGCTGTATTGCCCTAGATTGGTCACTTCTCCTGCCTTCTCCAAACTCTTCACCCTTTTGTGGATAGACCGGTTAGTGACCTGTTGTGGGGGTAATATGGCCCACCTCCATTCCTCTGACTTTTTTGCCACTAGACTGAAGCACCACCCTGGACTCCAAACAGATCATAGTTGCTCATCTTTTACTTGGAAGGGGGAGGGGTGGAGTCCGACAATATTCGAGCAGTGCTTCACACAGGCCTACACAAGCACTAACGCACATTACTGTAACATGCGTTACTTGCATTGTAGTGAGGCGTTACCATTCATTCTGAGTAACACCCTATTGCCCCTTGCTGTCCCGCTTTCTTGGACGTTGAGGTGCATTGCCAGCCTGTTCAGCCTTGGACTATATTCACACTTGAGCATCGGCGTCTTTGGGTCCTTTTTAATGCTTTTTCGGGGTGTCTTCAGTCTCGAGCATTTTTGCTTTAGCCAATGAAAAGCTAGTTACGAGAAGGTCTTTAGCCAATGAAAAGCTAGTTACGAGAAGGCCTTTAGCCACACGCTACATTCATTTTCCATATGTAGAAGGAATGACATGGAAATCTGAGTCTCGAGCGCTTATGCACTTCAGGAAACACACTTACAAGTGCTCAGGTGTGTATAGGAGCTAACGAAGGTGTGTTACCAGAAAGCAGTTCAGTGGAAGAGTGTGATCACAGTCTTCCATGTATTTAGTTCTATCCTATAAAAGCTTTATTAATAATATACAGGATGTATATAGCACCAACAGTTTGTGCAGTGCTCTACAGTACAAGGAAGACATTACAGTTACAATACAAATCAAGACAGGGTGGTAAGGAAGGCCCTGCCCGTGAGAGCTTACAATCTAAAAATGCAGCTTTGTCAATGATTGCGTACATTAGCCCCAAATATAGTGCAGCTGACTGATAAGTTTACTTTAACTGTAATATGAGTTATCCAGACAGAGCAGTCCTGTCCCTCCGGCGCTTAGTGCCATGTATGTGGGGAGCTCAGGATGGTCAGCCTGCTGTACCTGCTCCTAGAAATCCTCCCAAATCTCACCTCAGACACCGGGGCCGGCACCGTGTACTCCTCTCCCGCCACATCCTGCTCAGTCTGCCCTAATTTCGCTTTTTTGCCCGGTGTAGTCGGCTCTGCTGTTAAGCCACGTTTCCTCCTGTAAGCAGCCATGTTTTCCTTTGCCGGAAGTTCCCGTCAGGCAGTGCGCGGCTCCTACTGAGTGCTGTACCGCTGCGCTGTGTACCGGAGCGCCCTCTGCCGGCCACAGGCGGAAACACATATACAGCGCTTAGCAAGCTGGCCGAAAGCCGGTCTATAAAAGAGAACCTGTCTCTCCTCCTATGTGAATATATATATGAGCTCCAGAAAACTTATATTCAGGAGATTCCTGGCGGCAATGCTTTGTCTTCTGCAAGCCGCACCGATGTCTGGTGTGACCTTATCTTCCATCGAAACCCGAACACTCGTGTGGACACACACATGCACAATCACATACAGAAACACAAAGGTTGAACTTGATGGACCTGTGTATTTATTCTACCTCAAATACTATGTAACTCTAGCGGCGCAGACATTTTTTGGGGAGAATGAGTTGTGGCTTATTTATGTGTAAATAGCGCCGCCCATTCATATGTAAATATCAGTCGAGACTATTTTCAGTGGGTGACCAGCAGCCCCTATCTTAATTTTGGTTGCCTCTGTCTGCCTGACATCTTCTGTCCAGGTTTCAGCTTTCATAAAACCCGAACACAACATTCAAATCCCGGACAGGTGGCAACCCTGTCCGGCATGTATGTACGCCCCTGGATGCAGACTGTTTGTGTCCAGGGATATTCATTCATACCTGTATGCAGTGATATGCTCGATGTTTTTACCTGAGGAGGAAGACTTCCTGTGCACCTCAATGGACATGACGGAAATAAGAGACTTTCTACAGAAAATATTCTTTATTGTGTTGAAGAATGTAAATAAAATAATATTACAAATCAGCTGTAAATTCTATGACAAAAAACAGTAACACTCATCACATCCCTATTCAGACCCCAGCGCTGGAAAGAACCCGTCATGATGCAACAATCTGGATATCCATCCTCATTATCAGAAATGTACAGAACACACTCCGACTCCTGAGTGTACATAACAGTAACTTAAAGTGACACTACACGTAAAAATACATTTAAGTCCCTTAACTATTAACAGAAATGTATCTTATTTGTGTATCACTCGGCTGTAGATCCTCCAATCATCTCTGAATTGGTGCCGACACTGTCCTTCCTTCTGGATGGCATCTACTTTTATCCCCATGGTCCCGGTGTTTTGTACAGTAGTCACCGCTCCAAGCTCGCTCCCTGTGATGGACTACAGTCTCATGTTTAGATTAATAATTTGTATTGAGATTGTAGTCTATCATGGGAGCGAGCTTGGAGCGGTGACTACTTTACAACACACACAGGGACCATGGGGAAAAAAATTAGTCACCCGGAGTTCCGCACTGCTGAGCTAGCCAATGCTCTTTAAGGTCCTGTTCACACCAGCCGCTGCACTACATTGCACAGCTGCTAGTGTGCCATGCCCGGCACAGTGCTGATTTTGGCACATCAACACTTTTTTTTTCTTTTTTAAACTTTATTGCAATGCCACAAGTGACATTTATTTAAGTTGTATGGGCACAGTGTGGTGCGAGGCGCTTGAACTGCAAGCAGTACTGTTCATCCGTGACAAGCAAACTGCCTTGTCTGGTGTTGGGGCTGCGCTGGAAGAAACAGCCATCTGGTGGGAATAGACCCTTAAAGGAGAACTATGAGGTGAGTGATTTACACTCATCCTCATAGTTCGAGCCGCCCTTGCCTCTAGATGGGCAGAGCCCACTGTCAGTCAGCCAGCTGGGTTGATCTCAACAGTATTGTCAGGAAGCATCTCGGCTGCGGTGCTCTCAGTATATAGCGGGCAATAGCCCGCTATATACTGAGCTTTGGGTCATGGGAGGAGGTTAGTATATGTCCTCCTGTGACCCTAAAGACAGCTATAGGAACAAAAGTTCAGTTCTCTTTTTAGTCTAAGTTTACCTTTTGGACTTTGTTTCATGCTATACCAATATTTGGGGTGTAACATGAAACATGGTCAGATCGCATACCCCCACCATCCCGCTAAGCTAAATAATGGGGTTCTTCCCCTTGCCATCGCCACCTTTTTAGTCCATTGACACTTCCTCCCATCCACATTACTGCTTGTTCATACCCTGGTACAGACTTGGACAGAAGGAACAGTCTGCAGGAGCCAGAGCATTGCACCCACAAACTACTGATCGCTGTTGCAATGCTTTACTGGCTCCAATGCAAAAAAAAACCATAACAAAATGCACTTTTTTCCCCTTTTATGAAGTTTGCATTTTTTTATTTTTGCAAAAGGTGGAATTTCCCTTTAAAAATGGCAGCTGGTACCCAACTTTTTTTTCTGGTTGTTGTCAGTGGAGCTGGTTCCTTACAAAAAAGCTGCTGGCTCGTGGATGGGACAGGCTGGCTCTCCTGGATTCCATATTCATTTCTCCACCCACTGCTCCAATAAAATGTCAACATTCCCCTGCTCACTGCATTGTACCAATATGTATATTGAGCGCTCATATTATAAGAAGCAGCCAATCAGATGCTACCTGTAGCATCAGCTTCCATTTGCAGCATACACATACAGCCGGGGTGGGCAACTCCAGCCCTCCAGCTGTGCTGGAACTACATATCCCAACATGCTTCTGCGAGTAATACCTGTGGCTGTGAAAATCTTGCAATGCCTCTTGCGACTTGTAGTTCCACAACAGCTGGGGGGCCGGAGTTGCCCACCCCTGACATAGAGGGATAAACACATTACACAGGTATTTTCATGGAGAGGAGCTTGTCTACCATGTTTCCTCATGGTGTGGTGGGATGGGTTGGGTCCTCCCCATGTCTGGTTGCTGGAGCTGTGCAGACGAGCGGTTTAGTAACACAGATCAGACCCAGCACTAAGGATTCCGTGTTGGGTGGTTTCCTTTGGGGAAATGGGTCCGGTAAGTCTCTAGGATTCTGCATCCTGCACTTCCTCATCTGGGCAGCAGTAATACTCCACAAAGCAGATCTGACCATCCTCGTTCCTCACCATGTACTGCAGGGACAGGAAGCCTCGGTTATCGGTCCGGATAGACACTTTACATGACAGGGCCAGAGCTTTGGTGGACGGCTTCAGTAAAGAGATTTTATATCTGAAAGAGACAATTGAAAGAGCAACGTTCAGCAGTAATCAAGGTGAAAGGTTACTCCAACTATTCCTATGAACCGCTTCCTGTATATGCAATGAGTGGTACAATGTACAGTAAACTCCCCGTTATCCGGCATCCACCGGGATTGGTAGAATCCGGATAAATGTAGTTTCTGGTTGCTTGAGAGTAACTATTAAAAATAGGTCTAACTAATGCCATACCCCATACTATACCATAAACTTTGTATTGACTTCATATTAATATTGAAATGCAGCAATCAAAAGCAAATTAAAGTGACATTAAAGTGCAAACATTTTTTTTCCTCCCTCCAATGTTAATGTCAGCACTTACCTTAAATGATGTCTCTTAATCCGATCTTTTTCTTCTTTCCTGATGTTTTCATCTGTCCCTCCAGCGGTGCAGCAGGTCTCCGATCCAGCGCTGACTCCTCTGTCCCTGCAGGCACTTCCTGTCCCACGGTGTCTGCATGCGGGTGCACGCGTCCATAGACTTACCTTGCGTCTCTGCTCGTCTCCCGGACGAAAATCCGAACTGCGCATGCGCCCGCCCCAAGATGCTTTGCGGCCGGCCGAGCAGCTTTCAGTTTTGGATTCTTGGGCGGGAGCGCGCGGCAAAAACAAGGTAAGTTTAAACCGCTTGCTAGCAGTAGATATAGGCAAAATACCGGAGGGTTTAGAACCCCTTTAAGACAAATAAGGACACAATCATTTCCAGGATAATACATGCCGCAGATCACAGGCGAGTTGTTTTTTTCTGGTTAGATGAGAGTTCTGGTTAGTTGAATACCGGATAACAGAGAGTTTACTGTATTATGAAGGGATTACTTTTATATCTATGCACACATGCATTATACTGAGGCCTTAAAGTTGAACTCCAGATACAAACTTTCATTTCATATATACGCCACAGAGGATATAAATCCACATTGTGTACATACAATGCCTTTGCAAACCTTGTAAAAATAGTAGGTACATTATCACTGTGCTGCAGAGAGCAGAGCTGTGGGAGGGGCCCAAAAGGCTCCACCCATTATGGGCTGCCTGCAGATAACTACATGAGGGGGCGGAGACAAGACCAGTCATCCTGTACAAGGAGAGAGAGCAACAGTGACCGGTCTTTATTACAGGAGGGGGCGGATACAGGACCAGTCACCCTGCACATGGAGAAAGAGCAGCAGTGACTGGTCTTTATTACAGGAGGAGGGGAGACAAGACCAGTCACCCTGCACAAGGAGAGAGCAGGAGTGAGCGGTCTTTATTACAGGAAGCTCCAAGCCTCACACTGAATTACTGCACAGATCTGGAAGAAATACACAAAGCTCACCAAGATGCATTGAAGAATACACACGACTCTTGTATGAGGATAATATTTATTCCAGAGTTCAGCTTTAATTGAGCTGTGAAGATTGCAAGGCTTTAGTAATCCTCCACCATCAGAGTCAGTGATAGCTCACACCTTGTGAAGAATCATATTAAAGAAAATATGGTGACAGCCCAGCACTGGAGTGGTTGCTAAAAGCATAAACATGCACGCTCAGCAAATAGGAATGTCAATGGTGATAAAACATTAGTTGTAAAGCAAGATCCTCCAGAAGTCGGAGTTCAATCCTTGGGCCACTTTTGCATAAACTAACCCACAAGATGCATTATTAGGGATTCGGTACAGCCGAATATGTCTGTTTATGAGCAGAGCAGACAACCCTGGTGCTGAGATGAATCAGAATCCCCAAATCATATGATACAGCAAAGAGAAAGCTGGCTTCTGTTTCCCTGAAGTTTTTGGGACACCCGTTTGGTAAGGAGAACTTCAGGGGCCGGACACCCCAGGCACCAGGGTACTTTTTTTCAGTCACCATGGCGATTGGGATTTGTCCAGCCCTACCCTTAGCACATATCATGGCTGCCCCTCCATATTGTACAAGGCAATGCTGAAAGCCGCATCATATCACCTGTTTGTCTGAGTCTCTGTGCAGTGGAAGGCTTCTATCAGATCCGAATCTTTAGGGTAGTCCAGGTGAGCACTTCCTGCATTGCCGAATGTTGACAACCTGTATTATAAACGTGACATCATTAATAATGAGTAAACTACAATATATAATAAAGTACAATTCCAACGTGATAGAACATGCAGACTTCAATGGCAGTACAATCCATTATGTCAGACCTGGGCATTTTACAGTCCATGAGCCATAGCTGGCCTGCGCTCCATTATGGCACCGACACCGGCCTCCAAGGACAGTGCATCAATTGCAAGCCATAGCCCAGTGCAGGTCAGCAATCAGTCAGTGTTCAGACCACATTTTTCTTCAGTCCTTGGTTGCTAGGACCGCTCGTGTCCTAGCAACCAATGACGTCCGGAGTCCTCCTCTCCTGCAGCTCCCGTCCGTGGCCTTTTAATTAAAAAAATACATTAAAACGGTATGTGGGAGGATGGGAGGTTGGCATGTGTATTACAAACTGTGGCTATTAATATACAGCAGTCCAGTGGCCAGCTCATGCACCGTAAAGCTGGCTGCTCATATGTAGTTTGAAGTCACAGCCAGCTGATTCAGCCAGCCGCTTGTTCCCGCTCAGCAGCGACTAACGCATGAGGCAGGTGCATTGCATGCGCTAATTTTTTCAACTGCGACGTATAGTATTACAGTACCGCACATTGCAGAGCAATCAATTGCACGATGGCCAGGTGGTGCGTTTTGGCGGGCCATTTAAATGAATGACAACACACCTGCCGCACTGTAACTCACAGTCAGTGCATTGCGCGGTACCATGCGTTAATTATTATTATTACATAGTATTTATATAGCGCCAACAGTTTGCGCAGTGCTTTACAATGTAAGGAAGACATTACAATTACAATACAATTCAAGACAGGATGGTAAGGAGAGCCCTGCCCCTGAGGTTCAGTTCAGCCCTTCACAGCCAGTTTCTCATGTGGCCCCTTGAGTACATTAATTACAACAAAATGACAGCTTTTCACTCCTTAAATGTGGCGGCTGCATTCGTTTTCTTTTTTTCAGGCTGTTTTTTTTTCTTTCCTGGTGGTCCTGGCAGTAACAAACTTGCTGTCCTATGGGGGCAATGCTTACTCACAATACTGGATCTATAGACAAGCAGCATTGTCCATAGGATGGGAATACAGAACTCCCCCCTCTTCTCCAGAACAAGGAGGGGTGAGTTCTGAAGTTATTATGCTTGCCATAAATAGCTTGAATTTCCACAAATTTCTGACGAATCAAACAAAATTTGAGCCATGGGTGTCTCTGCAAGCAGCACAAGTGGAAAACTATTGGCTGAACAGTGACTGCGTCCCATCAGATCCAGTCATGTTTGAGTATTCCGGGAGCCACGACTGCGTAAATACAATAGCGGTCAGTGGAGATTCCTCTGCCCACAATGTTTACCGTAGAGGGGAAATCAACTGATTTTCTCTCGCTCAGCCCGTGGTCTGAAGAAGAGAAAATCTAGCCATGCACGGTTAGCTCAATGGATAACTGAGAACAATGTAACTGATAAAAGTGCAGGTTAAGTGCAGGTTGCTGTGTGACTAGGAATACATAAACATGTGGGGGGGGGGGGGGTTCTCAAATCTGACTGCAAAAGCAGAAATACACTTGAAGTTTTGTTTGTCAGGCATAGTGTATGATGAATGGAGTATTGTTAAATGCCTGTAGAATAAAATATACTGAATTACCCAAAATAAAGTATCACATTCCTGCTGCTGTCTATGGCTACGGTACAATACTTGCCTGGAATATTTCTTTGTATTATTTAATGCTTCTCAGCATATTGCTATGAGTGTTCTTACACTCCTCCAAGTCTTTATTCACAGACCGGAGATAAAGAATACCCCTATGGGCACACACACCTGAAGTACGGCTTAGAAGGTGACAATGTGATTTGCAGGAAGTCACTGGTCATGTCCAGCTCCGAGAACGCCTGTTTCAGCCCCTCGGATTGCAGAATTATTTTATTCACCACGTTGGTGCTACAGAAGTCAAAGTCCAATGTCTCCTCGGGTTCCTGAGTGTGAATTTTGCACACCGTCATCACCCCACCTTCTTCCAGGAACAGAATCAGAGGGTGCCCATAGCCGCGGTAACACATCTTCAGAGCTGTGGGAGTGGCTGCGAATGGAGAGAAAAGCAAAAACTAATAAACAAAACAAAAAGCTACCTATGTCCAATTCAATAGCTAAGGACTGTAATGAAGCTAAATGTACACTGCCTGGCCCAAAAAAGTCACCACTGGATTTAGCTAAGCAGGTCAGAGCCTTCCATTGGATAATAGGTCTAGGTTCAGCAATGTTATGTGCCCAAAAAATGAGGTCAGCTGCTTATATGAATATACTGAATGATCAGGTTTTTCCATCAATTGATTTTTTCTTCCCTGATGGCACATTGGACATATTCCAAGATGACAATGTCAGGATTCATCGGACTCAGATTGTGAAAGAGTGCTTCAGGGAGCATGAGACCTCATTGTCACACATGGATTGGACACCACAGAGTCCAGACCTTAACCCCATTGAGAATCTTTGGGATGTGCTGGAGAAGACTTTACACAGTGTCTTGACTCTCCCATCATCACTACAAGATCTTGGGGCAAAATTAATACAACTGTGGGCAGAAATTAATGTTGTGACATTGCATAAGCTTATTGAAACTGCGAATGTGTGCCGTAATCATAGCTAAAGGCGGTCCAATTAAATATTCGAGATTAGAGTGTGTGACCTTTTTTTTTTGTCAGGCAGTGTATCTAAATTGTAAGATGCAGAGGTGCAGTAGCTAAAATAAAAGTAGAGTACACAATAAACCACATGTTAAAAGTTATTTCTCCATTTCTGATACTCCCAACATACGTAGTCTAATAAATATGTACAAATAATTTTTTTGTTTATGTGGTCACATGACCGCAAAGCTCCCGCTAGTCTGTGTGGCAAGCAAGGCTGCCGAATCCCATAGAGCGTAGAAAGTAGGAAGTCCCTCTGCACTCCTCACAACGCTCCCGGCCCAAGTACTTGTAGTGGTGCTTGCAGTGACAATCACGGATGGCACCGTGCAACAAACAGTGGAAAGCAGAAATCACCAGCACTCAGTAAATATCTTTGATGTCCATTTAATTGGACCAATCGTCAATTGTCATGTACAAAATAGCGTTGTTTTGCGGGACCGCACAGGATCCCTTCATCAGGGCGACAATGTAACATTGCCCTGATGAAGGGATCCTGTGCAGTCCCGAAATGTCTCTATTTTGTACATGATAATTGACGATTGGTTCGATTAAACGGACATCAAAGATATTTACTGAGTGCTGGTGATTTCTGCTTGCCATAGAGCGTGACATCTTCCTGCCGATGGCCAGGATAGAGCCCATGCCCAGCAGGCGCAAACATATGGAAGTTAAACTGGAGCTCTGTGGTCACGTGACTGCATAGAAAAACTTAAAAAAACAATAAATTAATAATGCAACCACCACATCTAGGGACTGGTAAGCTGCAATATATTACAGTTTTGCTCCAGGGTTCAGATACTCTTTAAGGGCCAGGTATACATACACTGTACTATACTCACAGCAAACACAGTCAGATTATTGTGCGAATCATTTATATTATGCAACAATCCATATCCATGCTTACTTGCATCTTGAAATGCGTGCGATTTCTTATACATGTTTCTATAGAAATTACTGGCAGTTCTCCTGGGAGATAGTATTCCATTACCTGGCAACGCACTTGAACCAAATATGGTTAAACAATCCAGAAGGACGGTGAGATTAATTCGGAACATCACAGATTCCTCCTGAATGTTGAATTCTTGAAATATCCCGGCCTGTTAAGAAAGACGCCGCCATGAAAATCATGTAAATATGGCGAATACAATGTGACGAGGAAGCAGAGATAAACAAATGCTGGAAGCACCTCCCACCTGAATGAAGGCGTTGGCCTGGAGACATTTGGCATTTTCGACAGTAACTTTAATGCCGTTGCTGGTGGCGAAACAAGCCGCGTGGTCTTTGAACTGAATGGCCTTCAGGATGTTGGACAAATTGCGTACGTTGTCGAGGCTGCAGGTAAATACGTACTGGTCGTCCTCCCCTTCTGACTGCGACAAGAAGGCCATGGCGATGGTGTACACTGTTACAAAGAGAGACAAAGTATCACATAATAGTACGGCTCCGCCTCTTTGTTCTGATATATACAGTAATGGCCAAAAATATTGGCACCCCTGCATTTCTGTCAGATAATGCACCACTTTGCGCAGAATATTGTAACAATTGCAAATGTTTAGGCATTCTCATGTTTATTTCTTTTGTTTGGATTGGTATGACACAAAGTGACAGCATTTTGGTAAAGCCCATCATTTTACTGTTCTCAGAAAAAGAAATGAGGCCTTTAAAGAAAAAAAAAAAAAAACAGTCCCTACAGTCACACACGGTGGAGGTTCCCTGATGTTTTGCTGCTTCAGGCACTGGATGTCTTGACTGTGTGCATGGCATTATGAAATCTGAAGACTACCAAATAATTCTGGGGTGTAGTGTAAGGCCCAGTGTCAGAAAGTTGGGCCTCCGTCAGAGGTCCTGGGTCTTACAGCAGGACAATGACCCAAAACACACGTCAAAAAGCACACAGAAATGGTGTCAGACAAAGCACTGGAGAGTACTGGACTGGCCAGCAATGGGTCCAGATCTGAATCCCATAGAGCACCTGTGGAGAGATCTCAAAACAGTAATTGGGAAAAGGAACCCTTCCAATCAGTTGGCTAAAGAAGAGTGGTCCAAAATTCCTGTATAGAGGCGTAAGAAACTCATTGATGGTTACAGGAAGCGATGGATTTCAGTTATTTTTCCAAAGGGCTGGGCTACCAAATATTAATGGAGGGTACCAACAATTCTGTCCAGTCCATTTTTGGAGTTTTGCGTGGAATGTGTCAGATTTGGCTTTTTCTTCTAAACTTTTTTTGTGTCATACCAATACAAACAAAAGAAATAAACATGAGACTGCCGAAACATTTGTAATTGCAACAATTTTCTGACAGAAATGCAGGGGTGCCAATAGTTTTGGCCATGACTGTATCTATATTTATTATACACACATTTTTATGTGGCTTTTTTTTGCAATCTTTTTTTGAACAAACAACAGCCAAGATTTGCTTAAATCATCTGTCTGTGGCCGCTAAATCATGTGATCGCATGTTTCCAAACAATCTTCCCTGTCTCAGCCAAGCCGAGCGTTAATTCATGGAAGAAGTGGGCTAGAGGCCGGCCATCTTATGTCTATGTCCATCGTTTTTTTATGAAAGATCTGAACTCCAGGCAAACAATTAAAAGCCAAGTTTACCTTTTTGACTCTGTTTCATGTTACACCCATATTTAGGGTGCAACATAAAAACCTGGTCAGAATGCATCCCCCCCCACCCCCAACCCCCTCCTACCACCTCCCAGTAACCCGAATCCTTGAGTTCTTCTTATTGGAGGCTTGTGTACATTTTTGAGTGCAGTGGCTGTGTGGGAGGAAGCATGGCTATGTGTGGTTCCACTTGCACAGCCACATTATCCATTGACAGGATCTCTGAGTGGAATACTACAAGTCCGATCAGCCACTGTGGCAGAGGGACTCAATGGAATACAAGAGCAGTGATGTCACTGCATGAGTAGTCCATTAATTTAGAGGAAGTTCATTCATTGGGAGGAAGAGTCTGCAGGAGCCATAGCACTGCACCCATCACCCACTGATCACGGTTTCAACGCTTTACTGGCTTCATGGCCAAAAAATATTGAATGCGCATTTTTATTTTTTAAAGAAGAAATTAGCATTTTTTGGGGGGATATGCAATCTCCCTTTAAATACACAGATGCACGGCATTTAAGGGTAGCCAAGCCTGATTGGTTGCTAAGATGCCGGTGGCCTCAGAACCACCAGCATCCTAGCAACCAATGAAATTATGCAAATGATCCTAATTGGTTACGAGGCCGCTGGCGTCCTAACAACCATTTACTTTGTGCGGCTGAGACTGACTGATCACTAGGATGCCAGCAGCCTCAGGACCACCAGCACCTTAGCAACCAATGACATTGTGCAATTGAGCCTAATTGGTTACGAGGCCGCTGGCATCCTTACAATCAGTGACGCTGTGCGACCGCGAACGTTTGATAACTAGGATGCCTAGTCTGTATGGTAGTTAGGATGCCGGACGCTTAGCAAACAACTTGGGGGAGGGGACGACAAACTTCTCACTCCTGACACAAATTACTCCAAAATGACACAGGTCTTATGTATGCATTGCATAGGGGAGCCACTCACAATGAATAGCACAACACGCCACACTTAGAGCTGTGCACTGACGCACGTTACTGCGACTTGTAGTTCTGAATGAGCCTATAAACCAGACAATTTAGACTGCTCAAAAATGCACAAGTAGAGGTTGAAGCTGAACTCTGGGACTTTTGTGCTGCAATTTTTTGAAGTTGGTGACAGGGCCTCTTTAAAAGTCCATTCTGGTCATACACCATGAGGCATGACCAGAGAGCAAGAGTGTCCGCAGTGTGTATACACAGCACAGAACATTCTCATTTTACATGAACCTGCTCAGGTGACAAGCCACCCCACTACCTGCTCCACCTACCTTACTCACTGACACCCGCCATGCGCCGTGAGCCGTTCAAATAAACAGGTTTTACTTTTTCAAGAGACTTACCAGTAACAGCCCAGCACTAGCATATGTCTGCATTCCTCTATTGTAAATTCGCGCAGCCGCCATATTTATGAAGCCATAGCTGAGTAACAGATAACAAAATCCTAGCAAACATGGCGTCTGTATTGGAGACAATAATCATGCCCAGCCACAGTCCTCTGGAGCCTGTGAGCTCCACGTCCATGACGTTTCGCCTCCTCCCGGAAGACGACCTATGGTTGGAAGCTTTTCGGTTACCCGGGTAACAGAGGGTGGGAGCAGCCGAAGCCTTCCTATTCCGGGTCGGGGAATACACGTGTGTGGAGAGGGGTCAGCCGGCCGGTGAGTAGGGAAGGATGCGGTGTCACTACGAGCTGCTCGGGGTGAAGAGGGGCTGCACGGACGATGACCTCAAGAAAGCCTACAGGAAGCTGGCCCTGAAATGGCACCCTGGTAAGAGTCACGTGACTGGTTCTTACACATGTATTATATAGGGGTGTTCCAGACCATAGCATGTAGTGTTCTGAGTTGATGGGGGCCCCTTGTGTGTTCTTCATAAAGGAAACCTGTCCACAGGGAAATATGTAGGTTGGCATTGCTGACCTTCTTCTGAACTTTTTGTCTGGCTGTCATATTGATCCTCTGGCTTTGGTAGCTGGAACTAATGTCAGCAGGTCACCTGATCTGTATACTTGTCGCAGCTCAGTACTGTCCCATAAAGTATTCATTACCAGGTGAGCAGTGCGGTGTGATATAACCGTGTGTGACAACCAGTTTTATTCCATGATTCCGGTTCAGATCTACGTGTAATAAGAATAAGACGCTCTCTCTGCCTCTTGTCCTATTCCTGGGATTCTCCGGGGGATGGGGAAGACTGCTTTCAGCCCATGCACATATGATCAGGCACAGCGGTATCAGTCCTGAACAGAATTTCATACCCGTGACTGACTGACATATTTATATGGATGTCGCATCACTTCCTGCAACTCAGACTTTGCAATACTGAGATCATAATACATAATGAGGCAACCTCAACACTCCAGCTGTGGTGAAACCACGTATCCTGTCATGCTTCTGCATGTGGCGAGTCATGCCTGTGGATGTCCGAGTCTTGCAATGCCTCATGGGATTTGTAGTTTCACAACAGCTGGAGTGCCGAGGTTGCCTGCCCCTGTCATAATATTTCCTCACTCAGTAAACTCTGACACCACCAAGCTACTGATCCAGCTTCTTATCTTACACTTCAGCTTTTGCATCTCCTTCCTCGTTGGCCTACACAGGCTCCCCCCTTCAATGTATCATGAATGACTCATCCGTTTTACCAACCGCTCAGTGCCCACCGTCCCTTTACTCCAAACCCTCCATTGGCTTCCAATCACCCAGAAAATAAAAATGTCTAGCTTGGGTCTAGCAGCCTATCACATGATTGGAAAAGTGGGGGCTGAATGGTCTTGTCATTACTCCCTTTCATCTTTGATACCAGCCAACATCAAGTATTGTGTGGTGGCAGCTCTGAGCACAATTTAAAGGTGGGGGGGGGAGTACTGGGACCAGAAAGTAAGAGAATCTCTGCAACTGGCACAGCGACAATTAGAAAAACCTGACCGAGATTCTAACTTTTCCCCTTTGAAATAAAATGTGTTTTATTTTCTGTATGATGATGTGAATATTTTGCACTCTTGGCTCCATCACACCACGAATTGAATGTTTTTCATTGTTATATAAGAATACAGAGTATTAAGTGTCTGATTTTATCCATTTCTGCTACAGATAAGAACTTGGATAATTCGGAGGAGGCTGCCGAGCAGTTTAAGTTGATCCAGGCAGCATATGATGTCCTCGGCGACCCCCAGGAGAGAGCATGGTGAGTGATCTACGTTCTTTCTTGTGCGTTGCAGCGTTTGTATTAACACTCACCCATGGGTGTGAATGGTCTAGTATAGTAATAAACAGATATCCCATTGCACACCAGACCGGAATCCCACTGTGAGATGTAGAATGGTACTGGAATGATGTCCGGTTGGCACCACATGAATTTAAACGCAGTGGAGATGTTAACCCGCACACCAAGGTCCAATGCATCAATACGTCATTTATTGATGGCAGATACACATGGCAATTCAAGTATGAGCAGCGTTTCAGGACCTATCAAGGTCCCTTCTTCAGACTAATAACATAGTGACCGCTATGTTATTTTCCTAATGAAGGGACCTCGATTGGTTCAGGGGTCCCCTGCCCTCTAATGCAGACAATCGAGCACAGGATGGCGCTTGAGAGTCTGTTTCCCTGGCACTTCAGCCGGTTTTTGTCAGCTCCAAAGCAGGAACCACTGAGAGCTCAACACTCCCTGCTTCATTCAGCACAGAGCAGACTGGGGAATAGACATTCCCCTATCTTCTCCTGTTACCCATACTGACAGCATTTGCCTTGGTCCCTGGCTCCTCAGAGGAGTAGGGGACCCTGAAAACCATGGTGTGGGGTGCGGAGAGGGGGTGACATGATCACGGGCTAGTACAAATAATATGGCTGGCTCTACAGCCACATTATAAGAGGGACATGGCAAATCTTTTAATTTTTTTCTCATGTTTTACTTGTTTTCAAGGTATGACAACCACAGAGACGCCCTGTTAAAAGGAGGTGAAGATGGAGAATATCAAGACGACAGTTTAGATCTCGTTCAATATTTCACTGTGACCTGTTACTCTGGATACAATGATGATGAAAAGGTAATCGGCATACCTGAAAGCTTCATGCCAACTCATGGACTTCCAAAGCACTTACTGCAAGTAGTGGGCACCAAATGCTTTGACTCTGTGGTCGAGCAACAAAGGACCCCAGGTGTTTATAAAAATGTGGCCAGCTATAGTGCTTGTTGGCTCAGGGCAGCCTGCTCCTGCCTCATGTGCTTTGTTATTGGTCCATCACTGTGAAGGGAGGGCTTACTAACCAATAGTAAAATCTAAGAGGCAGTGTGTGGGGCAGATATGAATGCACAGAAGCTGATCGCCATTTTCATACCAGGGAGCCTGGTGGTTTTGGGGGAGGTCCCTGTGTGCTCTTCAAGAGACCCGAAGCTAAAGGTGTCCACTACTTGCATTATGCGTCATTACAATAGTTTGGGGGGCCATTGGTTCCTGGTAAACATGTGACCTCTTGGCAATAAGTGGGGCTGTATGTAGAATATAAAACTGTTGGTGTTATAATTTGAATAAAACTCAGTTGGAGTTCATTCACTGGCTCCTGGAAGTTCATTAACATCTGTCCTTCAAAGTATTACTTAACCTTAATTCTAAAAATCAAACCCTCCAATATAATTTTTTTCTTATTACTGATTATTAAAATATCAGCGCCATGCACATCTTGGCTGCTGAATTCAACTGCTTCCGTGCCTGTGTGTACCCCGATACATGTGACGTGGATAAGGACAGATGGGACTTCTTTTTCTTTTGTTTATAAATCAATAAAGTTCCTTAAAAAAAAATAATTTGAATTAACAAACTTGATAGGCGAGCTGCCTGAACTTACAGATGCACAGTGCATGTCCTGTAGCCACAGTGAGAGCATGCTCCTATGGTGACATCGCTGCTTCTCTCACAGAGTAAAGCTTGACCATACACTGTTCTATTATTTTTTTTTTCATTCAACCTGCAGCTTACCAGTGTTGATTCGAGGAATCTCCCACTGACTTCATTGTATTCGGACAGTGGCCGCCAGCCACTGTCAGAATACCTGAACAGACCCGGCAGTTAATTGGCTACTGGCAGTGCTTGTATGAAGATTTTCCGTCTGGCTCCTTCGAACAGCAAGAAACAGACGAAATGCAAACAATGCATGGTCACCTTCAGGTTGCATTCACACCTAAATTGGAAGGAAAGGAGGGTCCGTGGACTTGCAGTTGTACTTTCCCATTTCCTTCCGATCTGTTGTGATCAGTTTTTCAATGGATGCTAACGGAAGAGCATTGAAAAATGAATGGGGCTAGTTTAGACTGGATCTGTTACGTTACGTTGTGCTAAAAAAAAGTAGTGCATGTTCTACTTTTTTTTCCAGCACAACGTAATGTAACGCAACAGAGCGGAGCAGTGTAAACCCATTACACACCCATTTTTTTTTCGGTGCCCTTCAGTTAGCATCCATTGAAAAACATATTGCAACGCAACGGATCCGGTGTGAATGGGCCCCACA